TCTATCTGCTGATCTTTCCTGGTCATATCATCTCCATCTTACCTTCTACATCAAGAAGTTAACACATTCTGGAATAAGCCAACCCTTACTCCCACGATTCGTTAACTCTTGCATCCTGCCTATTATTCTCTATTCTTACCCCTGTTAATTCCTTTCCTACCTGTTCATTCTCAATCTTTCCTTTGTTAAACATTATACTACTTGCCATTAGTAAGTAGTATGATTTCTATATGTTAATTTATAACAATGACATTTACTTACAACTGCAGTTAAATTACTTGTTCTATTATCATTCTATTAATGTATAGTTCTTATTTTTCTTCTCCTTAAACATTATTTGCTGCATTTACCCTATAGTGTATGCTTTACTAATGAAAGTTGTTTGTTCATATTTGTTTATTCTTTGCTTGGCATTCGCGGGCCGTTTGAACCGACGCGTGGATCGAGCTTGACACAGCATTGCTGTTTTTACTTATTGACTGCACAGTGGTTGTGCATTTGACGTCATTTAGCCACAGACACCTCACATTTTGAGGTTTGTATATTATATATCTATTTTTATGTAATAAAGTACCGTATTTCAGGATATCCTGTATTTTGGACTTTACGCGTCACTCTACGTGTGGTTAAATCTATAGTTTGGATTATCGTTTCGGATTTCTTTCGGGAGAAATTCACAACCCCTTAGTTTTTTCCAGGGCTACTGAAGAAGGACTACATCCTATTACGTAGGATGTTAAAGGCTGTCAGCATGGCAAGCAACGTGCCACTGAACCAGCTTGTTAATATTCTGATCGACAGACACTTGGACTTATGTGAGAAATGGGCTAAATCCATTCTATCTATCTAACGCACACCACCCTCTTCATCCACAACTCTCCCCTTGTATCTATCTAATCAGACAGAACCAGAAGCCTATATAGGAAACTATATGCTCGCACTAGCAAGTACAAAAACTCAACCATACCCTACTTGGTTGGCTCATGTTCTGTGCGATAGAGAAAGCATTAGGCGTGATACCTATAACTTATTAAATAGTCAGTAGAACAACTGGATCTCGTCTTTTCAACTCATATCATTTATAGGTACAACATTTTCTTTCTTTTCCTTTTCTCTTTTTGTGTTGTTATGTGCTGCTTTGTTTCTTTCTTCCTTACAAACTCTACTTGAAACATTCTTCTTCGTTGTTTCACACTCTGTATATCTCGACATTTTGTTACCGCTTGCGCCAGAAAATCTGCTAGCAGTATCTACTTTTCTAACACCTTCAAACATTCTGTTCACTATTGGCTTTGCTACCGATATGCCAATATGTTGTTGTCAAAACTAACTGAGACTACCCACAATCTATGTAGAATTTTAGTTATAGTTTATGTACTATCTGGATGCAATTTCCTTTAGTGAAATGCTGAGAATTCCATTCTGTATCACAAGTACTATTTTGGAATGAAGCAAATTATTATTATTATTATTATTAAGGAGACCGCTGAGTGAAATGGCGCACTAGCTGGATACTTGAGTTAAACTCAAATGGAAAACAACGAGTTAGGAGTCCGAGTGTGATGTAGAAGAGGTCGTGTGAAAAGTAAACTGGGAACCTTAGTAGGAATTGTGGAAGTAGCTATAAAAAAAACTGCGGAGAACTAGATGAAATGGAGGTGTTCTGTTGCAGCAGCCCAATGTTTTTATGTCGGAACCTAAGGGATTGTCGACTTTTATTTGGGTTGAATCAGTTAAAAATGTTTTTCATCGAAACAGCTTTATGTATTGTAAAATATAAAGTAATCATATGTACTTTACTTCTGTGTGCGTCGACTAAACAATTTACTGGCTTTCCATGAATATGAGTATTTTGTCAACAAAAAAAATACTCCGGTAGTCTGGATAAACTAATAGGTTTTGACAGAAGAGCAAGTACATCTGACACGGGTTGATTGTGACCTTGTCGTCGGAAATGTGAGGTGTTGACGAGTCGTGAATCAGTGAATACGATGACGGACTGACAGATATGATACAAACACGTACATTTGCAGACATTATGTGTTGCAGTCAGTGTCACTACTTTTGATAATCATCGGGATATTACTGATCCCACATTACTTCCAGTGTCAGTTCACAAGTCGAATTCTGTGCTATACAAACATTTAAAGACCTTGCAAATCTGTTGACATCCATTGTCTAAACATCATATACAATTATCGTCTCATATATACATGATTCACGTGGACAAGCGTACCTCACCACATTCGAATAACAACAGTTAAGTATTTCAGCCCATAAAGGCCAGAACCAACGAGTCGTGTATGTCTTCTCTTTTCATTCACTCAACATTTGTGTGTGTATTTCATTTTCACCATTTGAAAGAGAGAGTGTCATTGAAGAATTATATATGTCCAAACCGAGTTCACTTATAACAGTTTGAAAAAATTTAGGCATTGGGTATATGATATTCATTATAATAAAGGCTTTTTTGTATTTCCCACTCACTGAATGAAAAACAAAACGATATCGTTGTTTTTACTAACGTTTCGCTATATAATGTTGCTCCTAATAGCTTTATCAAAGCAGCTATATTAAACCGGAATTTACAAGATCCACTCAGCATATTTATAACAAAGAGTTAAGAGGTGAGAAAATAGACAGGTTAGGCCAGGTTAAAATGACATATTGAAAGTCAAAATACCAATGAAGATCACTAAACCAAATATCAAAGGTAATTGTACATCTGTTATGATGTCAAAATAAAGTTTACTAACTTGATCATTGTTCTTTGGTCTGGGGTCATTTTTTGTTGTCAAGTTGGTCAGTTGGTAAAGGTAACAAAACCAAGTGTAGATTGTTGGATTTGATCAGTGTGTAAAATTATAAAAGTAGTGTGTGTTTACATAGTGAAATTTGCTTATCACATTCGTGTTGAGTTTGTCACTTCATAGGGAAGGGGAGGGTGGTGTTGTAACCAGGTCAGATTCTGTTTTAGTCCGTCATTCATATTTAGGCAATTTGGATTCCATTTGATATGAATGGCTGGCTTCTGATATTAGACGTTCTTTGTGATTTCTGAAATGCTTTTTCTGGGTTATTTCAATACTGTCAAGATCAATTTTGATTGCATGGAGGATTTAATCATGAGCTGACATCAGTTAGAGATCCACTGGAGAACCTGGGAGTACTGAACAGCTGCTTCGTCCTAGTTTGAGACTCTTCAGCAGTACGCACCCACCGGGATTCGAACCCAGGACCTTCTGGTTACAAGGCGAGCTCGTAGACCATTGAGCCACTGGGACCCGATCCAATGACCAGTCCTTGAATTCTAACTTCTGCCGATTCACGACATAGCACGACCACTTCGCAATGTCTTCTTCGATGAGTTACTGCCTCATCTTCAACCTGCTGCACCCTTCAAGGACCATTGGATCGGGTCCCAGTGGCTCAATGGTCTACGAGCTCGCCTTGTAACCAGAAGGTCCTGGGTTCGAATCCCGGTGGGTGCGTACTGGTGAAGAGTCTCAAACTAGGACGAAACAACTGCCAGTACTCCCAGGTTTTCCAGTGGTTCTCTAACTGATGTCAGCTCATGATTAAATCCTCCATGCAATCAAACAAAATCCCTACAAAACCAATGCTTGAAAATCAATTTTGTGGCCTGATACTATCTCATATACACAAGTTATGGCTGATGATTTTTCAAGTTTTTCTAGTTCAACTGGATTTCTCGATGGTCGAACATATGCTCTACGGTGTTCATTTCTTCTGATTTTGATTTCTCGAGATGTTTGTCCGATGTAGATCGCATCACATCACATTCTAAGTATTTTATTTTATACACACAATTAGATAGAGAACCTTTATTATTTGTTTTATTTGGTTTAGTGAGCTGCATTAGTATTCCGACTTTCTATACGTCCCTTTAACTTTACCTAAGTTTATTTTTTCATCTCTTAAATCTTTGTTATATATATGCTGAGATTTTGAAAATCCCAGTTTAATAATACTTTGATAAGGCTATTAGCATTAAATAGCGAAACGTCAGTAAAAACAACGATATCGTTGATTGTTTTTCATTCATTGAGTGGGAAATACAAAAAACCTTCATTATTTATAATGAAGTCATTGAAGAATAATCGTTATGCGAGACAGTACACGAAAGTGATCAGTCACTAGGGATTAATTATGCTACAGCCAACTCCATTTACTCTACGTACGTACACGATGTCTCAGTCAAATGCTACATTTCAGTGTAAAGTGAATACACAACCGTCCAGCCTCCATGTAGAAGATTTGCCTGATTCTCTAATGAATACCATTCAGGTGGTGTCTGATAGTGCGTCAACGTCACCACAACTACATACACACACACGACTGGTGCTTTTTTTATGACTCTTTCACACAAGTGCTACACTTTCTGTTCACTTCAACGTGAGGCGGGAGAAAGTATGCACCAACCAACCTATAACATTATAATACAGAGAATAATTGATGAGAATACTGTAGACTGTGAGATATGACAAATAAACAAGTAAAAACATAACTAACCCTTACAAACTAAAAACCATAGAAAATTAATCTGATGCTCGCTAGTGACTTGCTGCAGGATGGAGTTTCCTGGAGTCGGTTCTAGTGAGAAGTCGTGACCAATGAGGTCCATCCAAATGTCACGTGTGTGGATGGGTGTCCCACCTACGACAATGCCTGGGGTCGCGCTAAATCACGAATTGGTAGAAGTTAGAATTCATGTGTTGGCCATTGAATCGCGTCCCAGTGGCTGAATAGTATACGGGCTAAGTGGCCTTGTAACTGGAAGGCCCCGAGTTCAAATGCCAGTGGGTGCGTACTGCCGATGATTCCCGAAACAGCAGCTGTCCAGTACTCCCCTGTGGTTGGTTTTCAATGGTTCTCTAACTGATATAATCAATCCGTGAACAACTCGTAAAAGTAACTTAGAAGTAGGGAAGGAGAAAACAAAAAAGATCACTCAAATCAGCTGTTTAACGCCTACCTACCTGTTTCAATTTAAATCTACGAATAGGATCCACTTGTAGCATACAACGGATTACTTGTTCACAAGCAGTCGACAGATAAAACGGAAAGCGTACAAGACCACGAAGTACTTGAGTACGAATATCGCCAAGTGATTCACCGGGGAATGGGAATGAACCACACACAAGAATGTATAGGATAACACCTAAACTCTAAAATATTTTTTAAAAAAAAAGAAAAAAGAAAATTGAGGCGTTTCGTGAAATGTATTCTAAGCGATAATATTTGTCAAAATTAAAATTCAAAAATACTTCCATTATAAATTATTTAAATTAATCCCAGCGTGTTAAGAAAATCGAAACAAGATTTTTCTGAACGTTTCGCCGTGTAAGCCACAGCTTCTTCAGCAGATTTATTCCGATTAGATAATCCGAAGAGATCAGCAACAAGGATCTCTGCGAGCGAATCAATCCAGCAGGAACCGATTTTGCAGCAAATAGGCAGGAAAATGGAGGTGGATTGGCCATACTCTGAGAAAACAAACCATCAAGTGACGTCACACGCCAGGCCATCGCTCGAGTGGAACAAGGCCGAAAGGGAAGCGGCGAGTTGATCGTCAGTGCAAGGATGACTACGAGGAGGTCATGTGAACAGGAGATGAAAGCATGTGGGTTACAGACGTGGAACCAGGTGAAAACTCTAGCAGAGAACCGAACGTAATGGAGACGTGCGTGGCTGAAGCCCTATGTTCCTCTAGGAATTAAAGGGAATAATAACAATAATAACGTGATCATAACTAGTAATAATAATAATGAGTATCAGCCTTACCCAGACATCAGCCAAAGTTCCGTCGTATGGTTCACCTTTAAATAATTCTGGTGCAGCATACTGAGGACTACCACAATGAGTTGACAGTAATTGATCATTTTGAAAAAAATTACAAAATCCAAAATCTGAATAATTGAATGTATAAAAATTATTAAAAAAATAAACAGAGGTTGATAAGTTATATAATGAGTAGTTAGTTTTCCTTTTGTAAAATCTGGAAAAATGAATTCTACGTAATTTGTGATTGATAAGTAATAATGCATGAAGGATTTCATCATGACGAGCTGACATCAGTTAGAGATCCACTGGAAAACCCTCAGGGTGTACTGCACAGCTGTTTCCTCCGTCCTTGTTTGGGACTCTACATCATTGCGCACCCACCACAGTAGTTAGAATCCTGGACCTTCTGATTACAAGGCGAGCTCGTAGACCATTGAGCCACTGGGACCCGATCCAATGACCAGTCCTTGAATTCTAACTTCTGCCGATTCACGACATAGCGCGATCACTTCGAAACGTCTTCTACGATGAGTCACTGCCTCATCTTCAACCTGCTGTACTCTACTGGTCACGACTTCCAACTAGAACCCCAAGTCACTGGCTGAATAGAGCCATTCGCTAGCGAGCATCAGATTAATTTTCAAGTACTGGTTTTGTAGGGATTTTGTTGATTGCATGGAGGATTTCATCACGAGCTGACATCAGTTGGAGAACCTCTGGTAAACCTGCAGGGAGTACTGACAACTGTTTCGACCTAGTTTTGGACTCTTTAGCAGTACGCATACTCCAAGAAATTACTTATTCTTTGACTGTTTGATTGACCAACTAAGTTTCGACATAGAACTTTCCAAAAGAAGTGCAGACTTTCAAGTTGCCACACTCCTAACATGTATCAAACAAAGATATAGAAAACAGAGAAAAAGAGATCCGATCCACAAAAGGACTACCCGGTCGACAGTGAGGACAGGCACTCTCCGATAACATAGGCTGGTGGTGGCGCTAAAATCACAAATAAGCACAAGTTAGAATTCAATGGCCCTTGCCTCAGATCCCAGTGGCTAAATGATCTACGAGCTTGTCTCGTAACCGGAAGATCCTAGGTTCGAACCTCAGCGGGTGTGTACTGCCGATGATTCCCACACTCGGCTAATGAAACAGCTGTCCAGTAACCCCTGGTTGTTTGTTTTCAATGGTTCTCTATCTGATATCAATCCGCGGTCAATCCATGGTATAAACAAATCTAATCCTTACAGATCAGCTCTTGGAAATCACTCTTTAAATATTATGTGTGTGTTTATATGCATATAACTGTCCAGCCCCAGATGTAAAAGATATCAAAAAGAATAATTTTCTGCTCAGTCTTTCTGTTTTTTTTTGCCTACTAAATTACTACATGCATCGAAAATTTAGAAATCAATAAAATAAAAACACTCATCATAATGAAAGTGAGTTTTTCAGGAGTGAAATATTACAAGGTTAATGTATATAAGTATGAAGATTATAACAGTAATCCGACTAAGTTTAAAAAAATGGTAACAATAAGAAAAATCGGATTCGTTTCTAACAAGAGGAGAGCAGAAATCAGGAGTACTGGACAGGTGTTTCTGCCTAGTTCGGGGCTCCTTATCAGCGCGCAGCCACTATTAGTTGTTGAAACTCAGGATCTTCCGGTTACACAGCGAGATAGATTGCGACCTAATGACTTAGGAATTCTAAATAATACTGTCAGCTCAGATAATATGTCAGAGCGCGCAACCAATAGCCGGTGTCATCGAAGAGTAGCTGTATCCTTATTTGACTTGGATGAACCCCAATGGTTACGACTTCTCACTGGGGCTCCCCCAGTAATTTTCTGTATCTTTATTTATTGTTCCCTTCCTGTATGTATATTATTATTTCCTTCAATTCCTAGAGTAACATAGAGCTTCAACCGCGCGTCTCCATTACGTTCGATCCTCTGCTAACGTTTTCACCTCGCTCAAGTCTGCCCACAGGCTTTCATCTCCTGTTCACATGACCTCCTCCAAGACACTCTTGCGCTGATGACCAACTCGCCGCTTCCCTTTCGAGTTTCACTCGAGCAATGGCTTGTCTAGTGATGTCACTTGATGGTTTCCTCAGAGTATCTCCAATCCAATCCACCTCCATTTATTGCTGCTTATTTGTTTCACAATCGATTCCTGATGGGTTGGTTCGCTCATTGCCAGAGATCCCTGTTTCTGTTCTTTTCTGGCCACTCATCCATCGTGAGTAGTGTTGAGCGAAGACAGCTGTTGATGAAGGTCTGTATTTTGTTTAAGGTGTTCTTTATGACGCGCCAAGTCTCTGATCCGTATAGTGAGTAGCACTGACTTCACATTGGAGTTGAAAATTCGGATCTTATATTCGTTTTCATGCTGAGTAGTGCTGTTGACATCCACACAGACTTGAGAGTAGTGAAAGCTTGTCTTGCTTTCCCGATCATCGCTCTTTGATATCCTGGTCAGTTCCGCCTGTAGTTGAAACGATGCTTCCCAGGTAGATGGGTAGGTAAAGGAGGTTGTTTTTGTACATATAACTGGTCGCTAAGGAGCATCAGACTAATTAATAATAATAATAATTTTTCCTTCACACGGCCACTGGCTTCAAGCTAGTGGCTTGAAGTTTCTGTAGCAGTGTTTATTTTACAGGATGGGGTTGCCAGCCAGCCTCATGCTCAACCTTTCCTGTTTACCAGCATTATTTCTGGCTTAGCGAGGTAGAGGAGAGCGTCGGCCGGGGATCGAACCCCGGACCATTGCATGGTCGGCGAGCGTCCTAACCACTGTGCTACCGACACACACATCAGACTAATTATCAATTGTTTATTAGTTTGCAAGTGGTTTGAATAATTACGCGTTTAATCATGGGATCATATAAGTTAGAGAATCGTCTCCCAGCTCACCGGAGAAAGCCAAAAGGTCCTCGGTTCGAACTCCTGTGGTGGATGCGTATTAATGAAGACTCATACGCTAGGAGGAAACAGAGCTATTCAGCACTCCTTGGAGGTTTTCCGTTGGTTTTCTTAAACTGGTATCAGCTCATGGTCAAGATAGTGACGAGTGAAATCCCTGCAAACCAACACCTGATTGTCATCAAAATATTAAGGAGATTTAGTGATTAACCTCCTTTTCTCTCTCTCTCCACCTAACGAAACTACCTTATAATACTTTTACTGTATCCCGCCCTATTGTGTGATTACCAGTTAATTCCTAAGTGGCTAAAATTCACTTAGAATCGAATCCATGTCAGAAATACAAGACCTATTGAAATATGATTTGTGAATAATAATATGTCCTTTTACTGTGCATAAATAAACAGTTGCCAAACATTTTTAATCATTATCATCCATGCTAGTTGTAACACTATTGTAGAAACAAACAAAAACATTACGCAATGACAACATCCTTAGACGACTTGCTTAAAATTTGGACTACTGAAAAAATACCCATCAATAGTGCTTTTGGAATTGTGTGTGCGCGGTTGTTACTTCTCGGCTGCCCACAACGTGGATGTTGGTTGATTCTTCAGGTACCTGAACCAGAGAGAGGGTTAGTGTTGCGTGATCGCAGAGCCCCCAGGGGACAACTGCTTGAGGCCGGTTTCTGGGATTGGTTCCGTATTAGTAAACTTACCACCGGTTACGGACCACCGTAGGGTAAGTGTGAATGTACAATTTTTGGGGTCGACCTTTTCTAACCCTCTCTCTCTTCGGAGTGAAGAGACAGCATAGCTGGCCGGTATGCTGGTCATCTGAGGGAAACACCTCACTGCAGCTGTAACATTCTTGTTCCCCAGCAGTATGACTTCTCCCTCAGACCCCCGGCATAGTGTAGCAGCTATCGGTCGGATCCCCATCGATATATTGCATATGGGTCATTGCATATTCAATATGGTTTAAATCTAGTAGAAAATAACCCCTCTAATAGTGTTGTTTACCAAACAGAGTATTTAAAAAACATTTACAACCTGCGGTTTCGCGGGTTTCTACTAAAATCGGTGCGTACTGACGAAGAATCCCAAACTAGGCTGACGAAACAGTTGTCCAGTACTCCCTGCAGGTGTTTTAGCGGTTCTCTAACTGATGTCACCTCATCATAATGAAATCCTTCATGCAATCAAACACAAAATCCCTACAGAACCAATACTTAAAAGAGAATTATCCTCGATACACAGCTTATCCTAGTATATGAGATGGCTGTTCCTGTGAGTGGTGTTCTTGATTCATAAAATGTACTTCTGAACATTTTAATAACTAGCATTCATTCAACTTAATGTCATGTCATGTTTTCTCAAAAGGAAAAAAAGAAGAGATATCATAACGGGTGGGGGGGATTGGTTTGAACTACAGGTCAGATAGAAGGGACTGTATCACACGATCTACTGTCAGTCGAATCTTTTATGCGCAGATCTTGGACGAAGAGAAAATGTTATGCAATAAACTCCGCTGGAAATTCCCAACACCTCACCTAAGTTGATCAGAAACAATCACCTCCCCCATCTCCCCACCTCGCTAACTAACGCTAACTGTAATAAAAAAAGAAAAATAAACCCAAGAATAAACAACAACAACAACAGCAAAACATTCAACCTACCAGCAACTTTAATTTTAAAATCAGAATCTAACAATAAGTTTTCCGCTTTTAAATCTCGATGTACAATACCAGAATTGTGACAGAATTCAATAGCACAAACAATTTGCCAGAATAATTCTCTAGCTTCTTTCTCAGTGAATGCATGCGACAAGCTGATATGATCTATGTGATGATAACAGAGAATAAAATAAGACAGTTATTATTATTATTATAATTATTTCCTTTAATTCCTAGAGGAACATAGGGCATCAGCCACGCACGTCTCCATTGCGCGTTAGGTTCTCTGCCAACGTTTTCACCTCGCTCCAAGTCTGCAACCCACAGGCTTTCATCTCCTCTTCACATCACCCGCTCCTCCATGTCACCCTTGCACTGACGACCAACTTGCCGCTTCCCTTTCGGCAGGTTCCACTCGGGCAATCGCTTGTCTAGTGATGTCACTCACTTGATGGTTTCCTCAGAGTATGACCAATCCAATCCATCTCCATTTCTTCCAATAAGACAGTTAAGTACATACATATATATATATATATGTCCATACACAGATAATATATTGTACAATCATTATGCGTGTATCAAGTTAGATTTTCATGTCGCCTTTTTTTCCAGTACAAGACAGATCAGAAGATTCTAGAAGATCATTGGATTTCACGCGTGAATGATTTGTGTCTACTGTCACACAAACGCGAAGACTTACAGGGGAAACAAAAAACTGAATGGAAAAGCGGGCAGCGAAGACAAGACACTCCAGTGGAACATAGAGAATCACTAGGTGATAATCGGTAACCAAAAAGAAAGAAGATGGGAAGTTAAACACACTAGTGTGTGTGTTTACAGGAAATCCATACATTCAAACAGATATTTGGATTTCCGACCATCCCATCCTATGTCAGTAAAAATAGGATTGGTGAAATATTTAAGTGACAACAGAACACAAAAACTAAGAAGTACGAAGGAAAATCTAAGACAGGAAATGATACACATAAAAGAAGCCTTAAAACTTAATAATTACCCGGATAAATTAGTCAGGAAATATGTAAGGAACTGTAAAAATAAAATAAATAATGATAGTAGTGATAATAATAATGATAATAATAATACTATTATTAATGACGACAGCAACAATAAGGAATCTAAATCATCAGTAGTAATTCCATACAAGGAGGAACCTCGGGAACCACCTTACGCAGAATTCTTAACAAGGCTGGAATAAAAGTGGCTGGCATTCAACCACCCCCCTCGCCCACAAGCTAAATTAATAATAATAATAATTTACTTCATTCCAAAAACAGTACTTGTGATACAGAATGGAAATTTCAGCATTAATCATAATATCGCATCTAATTTCCTCAAACTATAAATAAAATTAATCACACAGAAAATTTTCCACATTTACAATAGAAGTAGTGTCAAAAACATGCAGCATATAAAATGGAAATAGTAATAATAATGATAACAGCTAGGGTAATGATAATAATACAAGTGAAAATTGCCGTTGGCTTGTGTCACACAGTATTGACAATGTGGTACAAAAAGCCTAACATGTTTAAAAATATTGAATATAATGTTCTTTTTACATGATATGGTGAGGAGAAAAACAAAGATTACAGCCGTCATGGAGATAAGTTGGTGTTTGCAATTATGAGAGTAAAACAAACAGAAGTAACAGGACCATAGATGCAATAGAAATAATAAAAGTAAAACTTGAAGGTGTATAAGGATGGATGGATGGATGGAGGAAATTGTTTATTTACTAGATGAAAAAAGGTTAGTTAATTCTTGCCTGACACTATTTTCATCACATAAAATACGTGCCAAGTATGGTATCATAGACGTGCGAGCATACAGTTTTCTGAAGTTACTTCTTGTTCTACCTGAGGAGATGCAAGGTGAAAGCTGAGGGTAAAGCGGATGCTCCAAGTCAGACAAAATCCCTTTAGCAAATTTATTGCACGAAGTCAAGTGCCTATCGACAACGACGTTAACTATGTGGTCCACTGGGACACCACTCACCCTACTGACAGTCTTCAGTATTCTACGAATTGTGACATAGTCCTTTTTAAGCAAACCAGGAAAGAATAAGGGTGAACAATAAAGAAGAATAGGTAGGATGCAAGAGTTTATGAACTGTAAGAGGAGGGGTTGAGTTATACCCGAGTGTCTTAACTTCTTAATGTAAAATGTCAGGCGGAATATTTTACTGGAGATTGCTAAGACATGGGAAGACCAGGAGAGATCAGAAGAGAGAATGAGTCCAAGATACTTAATTTCTGATTTGATTCCTATATCATTGTCGTCAATTTTACAACTGTCATGAGAATCGATGACTTCTTTTAACTGTCGTTTACATCTTAAGCTGAAATCAACAGTTTGACACTTAGAAGGATTCAGTTTAAGACCGTTAGACTCAGACCATTTGCTGACTCTCGATAGAAAGCTATTTATTTTAGTACAATCTAGCTGGGAGTTAACAGCCATTGAAACCGTTAAATCATCAGCGTACTTCACAAAGTTTATTTCATCAGAGTGAGGCAAGTCATGCAAGAAGAAAGAAAAAAGAAAAGGAGAAAGGACAGTGCCTTGAGGGACACCAGCTTCAGTAGGCAATGAAGTGGAAGACTTCCCTTTATATACGGTGTACTGCTTTCTATCTGAGAAATAGGAATGTAACCAGTTAACAGCCCAACATTCTGTTTGACTAGCAGCAAGTTTATTTAATAAGATGTCCCTAGGGACCGAGTCGAAAGCAGATGTATAGTCTAGGAAGGCAACACGAACAAATTTAGCCCCCTTGTCTAGACTGGAAGCAATGTTATGATATAAGACGGCAGCTGCATCTAAAGTGCTTCTACTGTGCTTATAGGCGAATTGTTTAGGGTCATTAAAGGATTTAAGCGAAGGTACAAGACTAAGTAAAAGTAATTTCTCCATAGTTTTCAAAAAAGGAGAGGTAATAGCAATAGGTCTAAATTTGACACATACTCCAATGGATGATTTAGGTAAACAAGCTTTGTCAGTTAAACCATCATTCCTGTGGAGCCTTTAAAACAAAACAATTTAGTTTATCTAATACCCTGCCTGCGATGATTGTCAGGTCAAATACAGAGGTCAAAGTAGTAGAACAAGTTCGGTGAGTCAGATTAGCCGAACATAAAAACCTAGCAGCTAAATCTAGGTTGGTTGACTTAAATAAGATAAAAAATCTAGAGAATAGTTCAGCTATAGCACTCAATACATGCAATTATACACAACCATACAATAGGATGCTATGAGATAGGCTGTCAGTTTTAAAATCTAATGTTTCAGGGTTGAGGGAGCGAGAGATTGATAACAGAAGCTTTGTTTATCGATTGAAATACAGAGACGTGTAATAGGAATGATTCAACACCGTTGCAGATATCTGGAAAATCCTACTACCACCAGGACAAATAGGAGAGAACAAAAGAAACTATAAAACTCAGGTTTCGAAGTCGTGTGATTACAATTGATATGATTGTGAACAATAAATTTGGTTCGAAACGTCACCCAGTGTGTGATACATTTAATAAACAAACTAATATGGAATAACTAACTAGCAACAACAACACTCGACACCAATCACCTTCAATGAAAGGGATGTAACAGAGGTTACTTCCATCACTTATCTAAGATGCATCGTTTCAACTACAGGCATTCTGCAAAAAGATGAAGATGTCAAAGATGCCCAGGATCGGGAAAGGCAAGACAGACACCTTCATCAATCTAGAATCACTGTGTGAAAGTCTTTTGCACCTCATCACAGCATACAGAACATCAGACATCAGTTAGAGAACCACTGGACACCTGTTTCATCCCAGTTTGGGACTCTTCATCAGTACTCACCCACCACAGTAGTTCGAACCCTGGACCTTCTGGTTAGAAGGCTAGCGACCTCGTAAACCACTAGGCCACTAGGACCCGATCCAATAGCCCAATTCATGATGAAATCCTGTAATCAATCAACCAAATCCCTACAAAACAATACTTGAATATATCAAATTTATCAACCAATAGAGAATCAGTCACACGATCAAAACGTTAGAATCTAAGTCAGTTATATTGGCCGCTGCTTTAAGAACTTAGTGTCTTCTGCTCTACAACACCTACACCAGTGGGACTAAATAAATTTGTATCAGAAACCATCAACAGTTTGATAATATAGATCACTTGATCCAAAAAAGGCTTTCAAGGCAGCATAAAACAAGAATACCATCTCTATCATCTCTCTCTAACGGGTGTCGGATTAATTGTCGAAGACCTCAAGGTACTGTATATTCCAGACAGCAGCAGAGGCCATTCCAATTCGCTTGAAACAACCAGAGCTCTGTGTCCAACAGAGATAAACCCAGTCAACTATTGCGCTACCATGGTCTGTTACGGAACCTATAAAATTCCTAAATTCCGTTTTATTTTTCTTAACTTATTTGGTATTTTTAATCAGTGTAGTGTTATATTTATGAATAGTAACGATTTTATTTACTTTTTTAAACGTATTAATGTCGTCAATGATAACAATAATTCTTTAACTATAATGGATGTATGTAGCTGTAGTTACTGATGAAGTTATCGACAAGAATTCTTTTTTTGTTCACTAATAATTTCAGTCTTTTGAAATCTTGAATTGAGCTTCTTCAATCGATCGATTATATATTATTATTGTTCCCTTGGGTTCTTCTTAGTGGAACATAGGGCTTCAACTGCACTTCTCCACTTGCTTCTGTCTTCCTCCTGCTGTACTTTTCACCTGCATCCACCATGTTAGTCCATACTGTTTCAACTCCTCTTCACACCATCTCCTCCATGTCACCCTCGAACTGACGACCCACTCGCTGCTTCCCTTTCGGCCTGATTCCACTCGAGCAATGGCCTGACGCGCACGCGATGTCATCCAGTGGCGGCCTTCTCAGCCGTGAGTGTTCAATCCATCTCCACTTTCTCCTGCATATTTGTTGGGCGATCGGCTCTAGTCTGTTGGTTTGTTCCCATAGTTTCCAGTTGGTGATTTTTTCCAGCGCGGCCATCTGATCTTCAGTATGGAACCAGCGAAGACAGTTGCTGGTTGATAAAGGTCTGCAACCTTTTGGAAGTATTCTTTGTGACCACCCCCCGCCACGTTTCTGATCCGTATAGAAGAAGTGGCTGAC